TGTCTCGAATGATTTGTCTTGAATGCTCGTTTAACCTTCACTTGTACTTCATTTGAGTGTGAATAATAATCTTTATAATTTTGAAGGTTTAAACACTCAATTCAATTTGTTAGTAAACAAGATGGACTTGTTTGTTATAATCAAAACATTAAGGTCGTGATCAACCATAGGTCAACACCCTTGAATGTTGCTGAAATTTCACACTTTATGATCATAAAACTTGTGCAATTTGAACGATCCTACTTATTCGAGCCCTGTTTTATTAGCAAAACTCTTATCCATAAAAGCAGTAGATTTTTCAGTCCTTAACGCAAGGTCTACATACATGCCGCCAAGAACGATACAAACGTTATCTTTCCAACCATTAAACTTTGGTTCAAGTACAAAAATTGAATTGATATTTGCAGATATTGCAGAAGTTGATGGATTAACAGAATAGAGGACTTAAACCTAAACAACATGTTCACAAGAAAATCCGTATTGGACAATCAATGATTTCAAATAATGATGTGCTCCATCATAAGAGATCGAGTACAACATTGATATTTAGTCTTTGGACATAGATATCAACTTGTAAGTAGTACTCTTGGTGTATTAATCAAATATTGACAATAAATCTGGTCAAACATCAAGCCTATCTTTGGACCGACTCAATGTTCACATAATGAATTTTTTATAATTGTCACATATTTATTACCATATGCTTGCAAATAATTCGGCCAAATATTACCTTCCTTTAGGCCGCTGAATTCCGCATGAATTATGTACACACAAATTCATAATATTCCAAATAAATTAATCTAGGTAATAGAGGTTACTTTGGTAACATGCCGTTTCAATTAATTTATTTTAGATAATTAGTAATCCAAATAAACTTTAGTACCAAAATTTGAAATTTAATTGTCCCCTTTTATTTTATTTTTTTCTTTTGTTTAAATAAAATAATAATAATTATCGGATAAAAAATTTGCACAACCCGGGCAGTGTACCCAGGCCAGGCGCTGCAATGCCCAGGTTGTGTCGCCTTTTGGCAGCTACCGGGCGCCATAGGGCTCGGAAGTGGGGCCAAGGAGTCGCGATTTCTGTTTTGGTCCAGAAGTTTCTGAAAAATTCCTAAAGAATCCAAAAAACTGAAATTTAGGGCTGGACATTCTCATCCCAAATTTTTGAAATTCAAAGTGAATGTCAACCCTAAAAAATCTTATTCAAAAAAATTCTAAATTTCGAAATTTATGGCTAAAATTCACATTGTAAACTAAAAAATTCTAAAATTCAATGTATTGATTTCAACCATAAAATTCTTTCTTAAATCTTAATGGTTGAATATAGAGTTGGCTCCAATACCACTTATTAGAATTTTTATGAAACTTTAAATCTTAAGAACATGAAAACCAAGTTACTTTATTGTCAAGATCTTTCATGTCAAATCATTAAGAGAATTATTAATTGCGAAACATACCTTGATTCATTGATTTATATTTTGAAAAATGAATTTAGAATTTAGAATTCCAAACCTTGAATCTTGATTTCTTGATCGTTAAATCTTAATTTCTCGTTCTTCAATCTAATTGCTCCAAACTTTCTTCTTGTTTCTTGATTGTGGATTGCATGTTCTTAATTGTGAGTTTTTTTATTTTTCTCTTAAATATGTTTTCTCTTAATTATTCTCGTGTTGATAGGAAGCACAAAGAATGAGAAATTGCATATGAATTGGAAACCATAACCTTATATATAGTTTCCATATGTATTTGACCTATCGTCAAATACAACCCTAATATATACGATCTCTATACATATAATTTGACTCATACTTTATTTAGATGCTATAAACTCAACAATTTAATTATTTATTAGATCACTTTAATTGGACTTAACTTTAAAATAGTCTTATACACAATTAATTACATATGTAGGCCCCACATGACAAATTAATAAAGGGAAATTATAAAAGTCAGGGGTTTAAATATTGCTTTTTAAAATTCAGTTCTAATGTTTATTTGTTCAAAAATCAGGTAAATAAAAGCCCTAATTCACAATCCCAATTCACTAATTCTCCACTCTGTTTCTCTCGTCGTTCGTCTCTCTCGCGGCACTATCTTTCTATCACTCCCTGAAGTGGCGCTGTACTGGCCGGTCGGAGAAAGGTGTTGCATCGGCCTGCGACGCTTCAGCATTGAGGCTGTTGAGACGGCAATCACTCATCATCCATCAGTCGCGACGGCAATCGCTCTAAGGTGGTGTGGCGGTAAGGTGGCGGTTGGGTGTGTGTGTGTACTGTGGGTGTGTGTGCAATGGAGGTGTGGTGGTGGTGTTGCGTCGATGTGTGGTGGCGGTGCCGGATTTTTGGTTTTTTTTTTTTTT